GAGGGGCCTTTCCCCCTGCAGCGGGGCCGAGCCTTCGACGTCCGGGCGCCCCGAAGCAGTCTGGCCGGAGTACCCCGAGTTCTTCCATCCCGCGGCCTGGGCTTCCTATAGGGGACCGGTGCTTCCCCCAGAAAACCCTTTGTCCCCCGCGGTTTCGGCCTGGCCTGGGCAAGAGCGCCCCTCCCGGGGGCGCGGGGTTGAAGCGAGGTGCGTACTAGGGGAGGGAAAGGCGAGGTTGGCGACGAGGAATGGGTCGAGGTTGAGAGCCGGGGAGAAAGGCCTTGAATGGCAGTCAAGGGGTTCGCCATCTGCTGGGTGCGTGAGGGACACGGAAGCAGTTTCACATTGGAGAAGGGCTCTGGGCAGTCCGCAGGACTGGCTTAGCTGGGCCAGAAGGGAATGGAGGGGACTCCAGCACGGCCTGACCCTCAAGGCGGCTATTTCCGGGGACTCTGCCCCCACCTCTCCCCTGGCGAACTCACCAACGCTTGGCTCAGTTATGCTCTTCTCCAAATGTGAATCCTCTGGCGCCTCTCCTTACCACTTGTCCAAGACACGGCCCGTATCTCCCCCAATCCTGGCCTCTTGAGTTTCTGTTTCAATCTGGAGCCAGGAACTTGGGAGTCACTCACTAGGCTACCCTTTTCCCGCCCAACCAGTCCATCACCAAGCCCTGCCCATGCTGCCTCTTAAGTGACCCTGGAATCCAGCCACTTCTCTCCACCTCTCTGCCCCTCCCTTAGCTCAGGCCACCATGGTTTTGCAGCTGGATTGCTGCAGCAGCCTCCTCATTAGCCTCCCACCCCTACCCAGTCTTACCACCCCACCCCAGTAGCTTTTCTCCACCTGGCAGCCAGAGACCTCTCTCAGAAACACAAGTCCAACTAGTCAGCTCCTGCTTGGGAATTGTCCATGGCTCACCAGTATCCCAAGAATAGGTCCAGTCAAGCCCTCCATGACCTCAGTCCTAACCCTCTGCCTAACGCATTTCAATACCCCTCCGTCAAAGACCCTCCCCTCTGACCTCCTCACGCCCAGTGCCCAGTGTGGGTTACCAGCCCCTCCTAGGGACTTCCTTGTAACCAGCATCTGTTTATCTGCCTGTTCCCCCTCTGGACTGGGAGCTCCATGAGGGGAGGGACTGTGCCTGATTCATGTTTGTCAAATGAATAACTAATTAGGTATGGTAATTAGGGGGAGGGGTGTGGGGTTGGAGTTCAGGAAAGACGGCTGGGCCAGCAGACAGTTTTGGAAGTTGTCGGAAAGGATCCGTAGTTGTAAGTAGAGCAATAGGAAAGGGTGAGATAACGCAGAGCAAATGAAGCAGGGTCCAAGGACAGAATATTCACTTTTTTAAAAATATTTTTTTATTCGTTCCAGAGAGGAAGGGAGAGGGAGATAGAAACATCAGTGATGAGAATCACTGATCGGCTGCCTCGTGCACGCCCCCTACTGGGGATCAAGACCGCAACCCAGGCATGTGCCCTTGACGGGAATCAAACCCGGGACCCTTTAGTCCAAAGGCTGACATTCTATCCACTGAGCCAAAGCAGCTAGGGCCAGAATATTCACTTTTAAGGAGGAAAGACTTCTGTACCAGTTTTGACTTCGGTAACAGAAATCCCACATAAGGGCCTCAGGGAAGACAGTCCTGGGCTGGTATGTCAGATGTGCTCCACAGACTTCCAGATATGGCTCTTTCCACTCACTGCTCCAGCAACCTCTGGGTATGACACTTGTCTTCGCGGCTCAGGGTGGTGGCTAGAGCTCCAGCCATCACATGTACACTCCAGGCAGTGGGATGAAGACAAGGACGAAGAAGAAGAGGGTAAAGGATTTGCACCAGCTGGCTTTTCAGGAAAGTTCCCAGAAGGTGTCACTTGACACTTTCACATATATTTCACTAGCTGAAACTTAGTCACATGACCAGGCCCAGCTGGGAGAGGAGGTTGGGAAATGCAACTTTCATTCTAGGCAGCCACATGTCCTGCTAAGAACCAAGGGCTGTATCACTATAGAGAGAATAGATATCTGGGGACAACTAGGTGGTTCCACTATTGAAAGAGAGGATAGAGCACTACTGTGTCCCAGGCTCTGTACTAGGCACCTTCGTATCTTATCTTATCCCGACCTGAGTAGGGGCTATTATTATCCCTGCCACACACACAGAGGAGGCTTGGAGTGTTAAGCAACTTGCCCAAGGACACACAGTGACCATGCCAGAGCTGCAGTTGAAACCTGTATTTTCCTCCCACACCAAGCTAACTGGAAAAGCAGGAGAGGGCGGGTCCTGGAAGCTGCTGGAAGGAAATCTTTCGATAAAGGAGACTTGGTCAACAGTATCAGAGGCAGACAGGCCGAGCAGGATACAGCTGAAGTGTCTACTTGGATTTGGCAACAAAGATGCTGCTGGTAACTTGGCAAGGGCATCTGGGAGAAGTGGGGGCGGGGACTGGAGGCCACCTGCTGAGGGTGGGACAAGGGAGATGTGAACTGGTCTTTCTGGAAAGGCAGCAGTGAAGGGGCAGGCAGAGCTGCAGGGGAACATGGGCGGGAGTGAGAGAAGAGGTGGCCTCTGCTGGGAGGTCTGTGGACTGGATTGGATACAAAGTTGGAATCCTCTACTCATTTGGGAGGGAAGGGGGCAGGAGGTGCAGAAGCAGGTGGGGCTGGAGAAGGAAGAGAGGAAAGAAGAGGGAGTTCCTGGGGTTATGAAATCTGAAGTATGGTTCCTGGCTGGGGAAGAGGGCAGAAGGCCAAGGGCCTGCGAGCCTGTCCGATGTGGTAGCCACTAGCCATGGGTGGTGATTTCAATGCATTACAAGTGGATAAAATAAAACATTCCATTCCTTGGTTGCACTGGCCACATTTTAAGTCCTCAGTGGCCACATGTGGTTGGTGACTACTGTATCGGGCTGTGGTCTAGACAAAGCATGGTGATGGGGTGCCCAGAGACCCTGCGTGGTTCTAAGTTCAGACGAGTGGTCATGCCCACAGCAGGGCCCTGGAGAATCCTTCCACACTGTCTTCACTGAGGACCTTCCTCCCCTCTTTGGGGTTCCCCAGGCCTCCCTCCTGGGGCAGCCAGCCCCCTCCTCACCTCCGCTTTCCTGAGGCTCCTCCTGAGACTGGTTCTCTGCTTGTCCAGTGCCAGGCCTCCTCTGCATGGGAGGGGTGTGTGGAGGTTGGGAAGAGCTCCAATGTTCAGGGCTCTGCCAGGACAGTGGCCCATGGATAGAGGTGAGCTATCCCCCAGCACTGACCCTGCTGGTCTCAGGGCAAAGCGTCAGCTCACCGCCACCCACCGACAGATCCAGAAGGACCTCAAAGGTCACTCAGCTCAACCCACAGTGCACGGATGGGTTTCAGAGAGGCTGAGAAGAAGGTACAGAGGCAGAGGTTTGTCCTCATTCCTTTTATTGTACTCACCCCTCGCTTTCCCCCGACCTTGTGTTCAGACAGAGCTGGGCAGGCCTTGGGGGCTGGGGCTGGGCCACAGGCAGGGAGCCCCGAGTTTGGCCAAGGCTCCCACCTGGCCAGAGGTAGCTGAGTAAGGATTCATGGCCGAAGGGCTGTCCTGGCCTGACACACGTGGGAGAAGCGTGTCCCATGGAGGTGACATGGTATGGACCAGGTGTCTGTGCTTGGGGGTGTGGGTGTGATCAGATGGTTGTGTTTGCAAGGCCCAAGCTGTTCAAATACACAGCGTGGGTAGAAGGGGGTGTGCATTCAGGTGAGTGTGCACATGAAGGCGCGTGCACGACACACTGTGGGGCTTGTGAGCACACCACACACCTGCTCACTACCGGCACCTGCCAGGCGCTGCAGGCCCAGGCTGTCTGATACCTGATCAGGAAACTTTTAACGAAGGTCCTCAAAATGGCCTGGGGAGTTTGCTCGCCTTGCAGATCCCAGTGCAGGGGGTCTGGGGTGGGCCAGGGGCCTGCATGGTCGATAAGCTCCCCACGGAAACCCAAGCCCGTGAGAAACCAGGCTGTCCCAGAGAACTCTCTGTGGTGCTGAAATGTCCGTACTGTCTCAGACGGCAGCCACCGCCCGTGTCTCCTTGGTGGTTACAATGTGGCTGGTCTGAGGAACTGCTTTTTATTTTATTCCATTTTAATTCATTTAAATTTAAATAGTCACGGTGGCTAGTGGGTGTCGTATGGGAGAGCACGGGCCTAGAGAGTGGGATGGGTGGACCCAGAGCGAGAAGCACGAAGCTCCAGCTGAGGAGTGTGCGAGGGCCACCCAGCACCAGCACCTCCTCCGCGCCCGGAGAGGCTGAGGCTGGGTGAGGTGCGCTTGGCGGGGTGCAGAGTTGGAGCCAAAGCTCAGAGTTGCGCAGGTCTCTCCCGGCGTCCCCCCTGAGCTGCTGGCACACTGGTGTCTTTCTGGCTGGGAGGGCAGGTGAGCCCCAGAGGAGACCCCTCTACCCTGGCTGGGACCCCTCCACCAGGCCCCCGCCCGAAGCCTCAGGCTGCGTCCAGTCAGGAGCGGGGGCTGAGGTCAGGACGTCTTCATGTTCTCCTGCAGGCCCAGGGTGGAGCTGGTGGCCGCGGGGTCCCGCTCCCGCTGTGTGAGCATTGGGGGGACAGAGTCAGCCTCAGGGGAGCGGCTGACTCCCCACCGCAGACTTAGGGGCCGAGGCCTCTGAAGGGCCTGACCAGGGATGTCTCTTACCGCCTCGGGCCCCATGTCCTCCGCGTACTTGAACTTCTTCTGCTTGTAGTAGTGCCTCTTGGGCAGGATGTGGAGCAGCAGCAGGTCACAGAGAACCGTGGCCTGGGGGCAGGGAGGTGGTGGCTAGAGCATGGGAATCCCTACTGTCTGTGAGGCCCTGATGGAGTCCTGCCCTATCCAGACCCGGGGTCCTGGAGGGGGGATGAGGCCCTGAGGCCCCTCGGGGAACCGAGACTGCTCATCCCCCCCCTGGGTCCTGCCCCAGCTGTGGGCCTCAGTTTCTGCAGACATACTGTGTGTCTAGGGTGGGGGGTGGGCTCAGTAAGGATGGACCATTGCAGTCAAGTTATGGGTGAGAGACTTGTTGCTGCTACTGAGATGTGGAAGAGGGGGACTGACCCCAGCACAGTGACCCCATGTCCCCAGCACTTACCACCCCGAAGATGCCAATCCCGGAGCCGATGGTAGTCATTGTGGGGATGATGTCAAACTTCCTAGCCTGGTGGGGGGCCCCGGTGGGGGGGGAGAAGGGTTAGCAGTCAGCAGGGGCCCCGTTGGAAAGGTCTTCCTCAGAAGCCCTAAGGCCAGGCCTGGGGTCAGGCAGTGTCCCTTCCACTGTTGGCTGGCCCGCTGCCTGCTGCCCAGGGTCTGCCTCTACCTGCGACTCAGGGGCTGGTCAGGAGCCTGGGTTTTGACCTTGGCTCTGCCTTCCTGGACCCAGGGAGATAGTGCGGGAGGGTGGTCACAGCTGGAAGGCCACCCTCAGCAGTGCCCAGGCCCATGTGCAATGAGGAGAACTGCCGAAGGAAGCCCACCCACCTGCAGTCGTCTGTAACCACAGGTGCCCAACGGGCACTTGCAGGGCCCGAGAGCGTGTCTCTGGCCGCCCCTCACGCTGTCACTCACCTTGCCGTCCACGAGGATGTCGAAGCGAATCCCAAACACCTTGAAGAGATGCCGGCGGTTGGTCCCATTCTCCACGAAGTACTTGGAAAACCTTGGGGAAGGAGTGAGGTTGCAGGGGGATGATGGAGAAGCATTCTCGGTGGGGAGTTCCCAGAGCATCAGGGATGCAGGGGCCCTTGGAGGTCCCTGAGGATAGTCCCCCCCAACATTATAGAGACTGGGAGCCGCTGGCAGGATCCCAGGCCTCATGCCAGGAATGCTGTACTCCACCCTCAGCCTGGCTCCCGAGGTCAGCCATTTCCCAGCCAGTCCTGGTCAGGGGGGCCTCCCGGGGACCAAGAGCAGGGCAGGGGCTCAGGCCTCCAGGGTCTTGCTCCCTGCTGGCTCCCTGTGTGGTCAACCCCAGGACGATAGGAGCTACCCTGGCTCCTGTGCTCCCCTCCCGGGGACACCTGCTTGGCCCTGAGGGTTCTGGGAATAGATGAGGCCACAGGACCCCAAGGGCAGGTGCCCCGGTGGGCCCTGGCAGGCACCTGAAGTTGAAGCCTTGAGCCAGGTCTTTCTCTTCATTGAGACTGTGGAACTCATAGACGGGCTTGCAGTGCCGCAAACGCCAGTCCAGGTCGCAGTTCCAGTCGATGGTGATGCCTATCGCCCCACCCTGCCGGGACACGGGCGTTAAGCTCTGGGGTTTCAGGGCAGGAGACGGCCTTGCAGCTGGGCCGGCAGCCTCTTGAAGAGGGAACCTGCTTGGGCTTGACAAGAGATGCTGAGAAACTGCTTCAGTGTCAAGCCTGTCACCCTCTCTGGCCCGCCTTCCGCCCCCCACACTCCAGCTTTCTGCGTTTCTACGATACACCGAGTTTCCCCCTCGGGGCCTTTGCACAGCAGTTCCCCCCGTTTCCCACAAGGCTGGCTCTTTCTCATGCTTCTCTCCGAACCCAGGTGGCCATGTGGATCTGGCCCCTGGAATTCCCAGGGTTTCTCAGGGCCCTGGGATTTGAGCTGCTTTTATCTGCTATTTTAAGAACAGTGGGACCTCAGCAGACATCCAGATGACCACATCTGCCCATGCCCATTCATTCTGGGCACCTCCTCTGTGCCATTCCATTCCAGGCCCTGCTGAGGAGACAGGCCTGACCCTGCCTCCCCAACATTAGAGGATAAACCCATTATACTCAACCCACACAGGGAGGCTGGAGGCGGATTAACTGGGCCTGAAAAGCCTTGATTGGCTTGACGATCCCAGGCCCAGCCCTCCCCACTCGCTGGCATAATACCTTCTCGGCCAGGGTGCTGAAATTCTGCCCTGACTCCCGCACCACATAGCCGAGATTGAAGACAGGGCACAGCGGGTGAGAGATCTTGTGGAAGAGGCACTTCTTCAGGTATTTGGCATCCACCTCTTCCACCAGGTTGCGCCTATGGGGCAGGGGGCATTGGCAGCAGCAGTGTGCCAGCTGGGAGGCGCCCACCATGCCCCGAAGCTCTGCAGATCCCTCGTGGGCCCCAGAAATGCCCCTCCCACAGCTCACCCCAGGGGCCCAGCGTGAAAGCAGCAGGAGCAGGGGTGACACAGGCAGCTGAGGCCAGCAGCCGCAGCCTCCTGGAGCCGCCTGCCTGTCTTCCCGCTTCTCCCACGAACCTGTTGATCCCGAAGCGTGGAAAGCTGATGCTGTTCTTGATGAAGAGCGTGAAGTTCTCGGCCTCTCGGAGAAGGGCAGGGCTAAAGGAGACCACACTTCCTCACCACCCCTCCCCAGCAGTCCCGGGCACCCACCAGGGCCTGGCAAGGTGTGTGTGTGTGTGGGGGTGCACCCTCCTGTGGCTTTGGGGTGGTGTGCTGTAATGGTGGACTCTCAGGCCTTTGACCAGGGCCCGAGGGGCTCTTTGGCCTGGGCTGCACAGACGGAGAGAGGGTAGGGTTGGAAGAAGGGGGGCCTGGTCCTACCAAGGGACCCTCTGCCTGGGCTCGGGGATCCTGCTCCCAGCTCCCCGGAAGGAGCAGGTGTTACCGTGGGACGCTATCATCTACTTCCACGGGGCACCAGCCAAAGATCTCACACGTCTTCACGGTGTTATTGAAGGCCACACACTTGCCTGTGCGGATGCCTGGAGAAAGGGGGAAAGTCCTGGGTGCAGCTGGGGGGCGGGGGGCAGGGGGACCCTCCAGGCTCCATCCCTAGGACTCCCCATGGATGAGGCCCCCAAAAGCAGAAGCCCGAGGAAGGAAGTGTGGCTGGGTCTGGGACAGGGCAGGCCAAGGTCAGCATGGCAGGAGGGGAGAGGGCAGAAAGGACATCCTGGTGGGGGAGGCCTGGGGCTGAAAGGGGCTGAGGAGGGGACAGGAGGGGGCGACCTTACCCTGGGCCTTCCTTTCCGCCTTCCCTGGAGTGCAGCCACTGTCGTCCTCGCAGATGCCCCCTTCCGGATGCTGGGGGAGGGGAGAGCTGCTGGCTCCAGGCCCCTTGGCTGGGATCCTGAGAAGAGCCCCTCCCGCCCCCAGGGCCCTAGGGAGGGTGTGGGGCAGAGTCTCAGATACCTTTGGGGTGACCCTTGCGGAAGGCCTCCTTCCCCGCTCTGGGCTCAGGCCCAGCTGCTGGGAAGGTGGGGGCTTGTGGTTGGGCCGCACAGAGGCTCAGCACCCTGCTTGGCACGCAGCTGGCAGGGCAGCCCCAGCAGGGTCGAAGGGGGCCTGTGACTCTGTGTCAATCTATGCCTGGGATCCCACCACGGCTTCACCTCCAGTGCCCATCCCCAGCTTCACCTCCGGTGCCCGGGGGACCTCTCCTTCCATGTGACTTTCCCCTTGGGGTGAAGAAGGAGGGATGGTCGGCGGCCTCACCTCTGCACAGTAGCCTTGGGCCTGATGGGGGGTCACGATGAAATTGGTCATGACCACGAAGGAGCTGTCCCCCTGGAAGTGAGAGGCAGGGCTCTGGGCTGGGAGGACAGCCCCAGGAGCCAAGCACTGCCCGGCGGCTCCCAGAACCCACCCGGCACGCAGCACAGTCCTCCACACGCCCCGGAGTCAGCGTGCGGGGATGTTAGCAGGCTGCGTGTGCCCTTCATCCCAGTCAGGGAAACGGAAGCCCAAGAGAGGTAGGAGCTGACTGGTCCCACAGGGAGGTGGGAGAGAGCCCGCCCCAGCTCTGAGCCAGGACTCCGGGTGGAGGGTGCATCCCTGAGTCAGCTCACCTGGGCTGGGAAGACGTAGTCAGCCACGTCCCAGACCTGGGGGCCCAGGCCCGGCAGCTGCGTCACAGCCAGGCCCTTGAGTTTCACAGACACACTGCTGATGAGGCCGCTCGAGGTCTGGTAGCCCTTCTCATAGAAAAAGACCCACCTGCGGAGAGTGGGAGCACAGGGGTCGCTCAGGACGGCTGTGCTGGCACCAGCTGGACAGGCCAAGTCCTTTCCCTTTGCCTCCCAAGATGCATTTCTGCCCGGCCGGCATGGCTCAGTGGTGAGCGTCAACCTATGAACCAGGAGGTCACCGTTCGATTCCCAGTCAGGGCACATGCTTGGGTTGCGGGCTCCTCAACCCCCAGTGTGGGGCGTGCGGGAGGCAGCTGATCAATGGTTCTCTCATCATTGATGTTTCTATCTCTCTCTCCCTTCTTCTCTGAAATCAATAAAAATATATTTTTTTAAAAAAAGAAGAAAAAGATGCATTTCTGAGCCACTCTCTGCTCCTAAAGCTACACCTTGGGCTGCAGGCAGGAGAACCACTGCCTCCCCCCGCTGGCCAGTGCCTGAAGTTCCACCATCCTTTTCGTTCCGAAAATAACTAATTCCCGGGGAGGAGACCCACTGAAGGACTGTCAGGTCCTTTTCCAAGAGCAGAATTTGCTGGTGCCTGAAGGCCAAGCATCTCGAACCCCAGTCCTCATGAGAGTACTCCTTCCTCCCTGAGGGCCTCCCACAGAAAAGCAGCAGAGCATGACCCCGCACGCCGGGCAGCCTCTGGCCCCCGGTCACGGCCCTTGTGGGAGTGGCTCAGGCGGGAGGCCTCCCAGCTCTCCTGAGGAATCCTGGCCTTCTCTTCCCAGCATCGAGAACCCCTATTCCTATGCATTCTCCACTTTCAATCTGGAAGGTTCCGCGGGCCCCCCCTCCCTCTTAGCCCCAGGGGTAGGCACATGAGCAAGGCTTGCCAATCAATGTTCCATCACCCGAGCAACAGTGATGGGCCTAAGGATGAGCACCTGACCTGGGAATGCCAGCAGGGAGGCCAGGATTCTTCTTGGAATTATTGGGAAAAAGACATCCTCTCTGCTGGGTGGCTAAGCAAGGTGGCTCCGAGATCAGAACGATGGCGAGTTATCTTTGCTACCTCACAGAGCGAGCGTGAGAATGAAGCCAACTTAGAGAAAGCCAGGCCAGGAAATGGAGGGTGGCAGACTCCTGCCATGTTGTTTTAGCACCTGGACCCAGCCAGACCTAAAGCATGAGAAATCTACTTCTGGACTTTTCATGAGCTAATACATCCCCTTCCTTTATGTAAGCCGGTTTGGTTTTGGTTTCTGTTGCTTACGACCGACAGTCCTGGAAACACTTCTATCCAGGGTGTGGTTCTCTTCCTCAGATCCCTGTAACTGTGCGTGTGTGTCCAGAGTTTGTGGCTTCGTATCCCCAGGGCAAATCTGTGAGTGCACCTATGGGCAGTTCTGACGGGGCAGATATATTTGTGCCCCCTTCACCTCTCACTCTACCCTCAGTCTACCTGTCCAAGCGGAGCTCAAAGCCCCTCTCCCGTGCCTGGTAACGGAATTCTCCAGGCCTCTTAGCCCCAGAGTCACTGTTAGCTCTCTAGGAGCTGGCTCCCTGATCCAGGCCCAGGAAGGCAGCCCACCAATGTCCTCCTCTCACCTCCCATAGTCCATTCCTCTTTCTGCAAGCCCCTCGCCCTGCCGGGCACTGGAGCCAAGCCACCCCACCCCCACCCCATGCCTAAGCTGGGTCACTGCTGCCCCCTGCAGGTCCCAGGAGGCAACAGGTAAGACATGACAAAGGCCCCCAATTCTGGGTCCTGAACCTGTCTCACTGCTTCCTGCTGCCTCAGGGAGAGTGGGCATCACCTATGCCCTGCCCTCCTTAGGTTGCTTCCTCCAGGACGGCCTCTGGCTTCATGCCCAAGCTGCAGAGGAGGTCACTGGCCTCTCTCTGGGCACCCCGGACCCCAGTGTCCAGCAGCATTTCTCTCGTTGCCCCACACCTACCCCTCACAATATAGATGAGAAAATGGAGGCCTGGGGAGCATCTCTCCCAGGTCAGAGGGAGACCCAGGCTCAGGGCCACAGCCCGGGACTCTGCCCCTCCGCTGGGCATCAGGTGTGGCCAGGAGCCAGAGGTGTGGGGGTTGGGGGAGGAAGCAGAGGCCCAGGAGGCTGCACGCTGGGGCCGGTGCAGCCACTCTTGACTTTGTGCCCCGGGGGCTGTCAGTCCTGGGGGTCAATGGGAAAGATAAAATCTGGCATCTCTGGCCTCAGTTCTGGTTAGTGAAAGAATGACCATGGTGCCAGGCCCACTCCTCCAAAGCCTGACCCAGCCTTGCTGTCACCACTCTGGGAAGCCACCATGGGCATCTAATCCCCCAAATACCGGCCGTTTTTGAAGTCCCTCCCCTTCCAGAAATTCTCTTTCCCTTTCTACCCATCTCATTCTCAGCAAAACCCTCTCTCTCTTCTCCAGTGGCCTCGCATGGAAGAGGCCACATGTTGGAACGGCCTAGAGGCTGAGGTCCGGGCACCAGCACTGCCACTCACCGCTGTGTGGCTTCTGGCTGGAGACTAAGCCTCTCTGAGCCCTGGCTTTCTCAGTAAAATGGAGGTGGTGACACCTCCCACAAGGACTGTTCATTCCACAAATACAAGCAGGGCCCGGCCACGCATGAGCAGTGGGCTGGGCCCCTGGAAGGAAAAGAGTGGAGGTGATTGGGGATTCCCATGAGTTCCCATTAAATGAATGAGCATGCATAGGCCCATAGTAAGTCAGTCTCCTGTTTTCACTGTCCCTACTCTTCCTTCACTAATTCTTTCAATGTCCATCTGCCCCCATCGGCCTGGCCTCCATCCCCAGTCCAGGCAGAATCCCGTGCGAGCTATCACAGACCCACTGTGCGCCAGGGTTCCTACCTCCACTTCTTTACTCTCTCCCAAAATTCAATCCCACGCATTCATTTGTCATTCAACAAATATTTATTTATCAACCCCTATGACAGGGGGAACGTCGGGCCCTCGGGCCGTATAAGGCCCACGAAATCATTTGGTCTGGCCCTGCCAAGGCACTAGGGGTGAGCTAATTAAATGTTTGCCCAATGGTAGCAGGCTAACTTTTAAGTTGATAATTTTGGGCCCATAGTAAGTCAGTCTCCTGTTTTCACTGTCCCTACTCTTCCTTCACTAATTCTTTCAATGTCCATCTGCCCCCATCGGCCTGGCCTCCATCCCCAGTCCAGGCAGAATCCCGTGCGAGCTATCACAGACCCACTGTGCGCCAGGGTTCCTACCTCCACTTCTTTACTCTCTCCCAAAATTCAATCCCACGCATTCATTTGTCATTCAACAAATATTTATTTATCAACCCCTATGACAGGGGGAACGTCGGGCCCTCGGGCCGTATAAGGCCCACGAAATCATTTGGTCTGGCCCTGCCAAGGCACTAGGGGTGAGCTAATTAAATGTTTGCCCAATGGTAGCAGGCTAACTTTTAAGTTGATAATTTTGTATGGCCCACGAATGATATAAATATCCAAATGGCCCTCAGCAGGAAAAAGGTGCCCCACCCCTGCCCTACTATGTGCCAAGCACTTTCCTAGACGCTAAAAATACAGAAGTGAACAAAACAACCCAAAAGTCTGCACTCACCGCTTGGTGACACACATTCCTCCCCTCTGCCCTCGGCCCCACCCCGACACCCGACAGGCTCCTCCAACCTAAGCCGACCCTTTGGAAAAGTCAACTTTTCCTCAAAAAGTCAGACATGGAATTTCCATTTGACCCAGCGATTCCATTTATAGGTATCCTGACAACGTACGTCCATGCAAAAACATGCCCACGAATGTTCACAGCCACATTCTTCATGAGGAACAAAAGCAGAAACAACCCAGATGTCCTTGAACCAACGAGTGGATAAACAACACGTGGGGGATCCACACCGTGGAGTATTATTCAGCCACAGAAGGGAAGGAAGCACCAATACACCTGCGACCTGGACGAGCCTCACAGACGGTGTGCGAGGTGACAAAAGCCAGCACACAAGACCACACGTTGTGTGACTTTACTTCTGTGAAATGTCCGGGATTGGCAAGGGGCATGGGAGGGGAGGGGAGAGTGATTGCTCAGGGGCACAAGGTGGGGTTTTTGTTTGTTTGTTATTTTTGAATAGTGAAAATGTCTGGAATTGGATAGTGGTGATGGTTGCACAAATTTGTGATTATGCTAAAACCCACCAAATGGTATATTTTAAAATGGTGAATGTGATCGCATGTGAATTATATCTCAAAGTAAAAACCCAACAGGACCCACTAGAATGCCTCGTGTGTCCCCAGAACTTGCTCCTCTGGTGCCCCGTCCCCGGGCCCAAAACCCGGGCGTCATCCTCCCGCCCTTCCTGTCCTTCATGCCCATTCTCTGGTCTCTCCTGGCCGCCCTCGGCTTTCCTCTAAGGGCCAGAGGGGTTTGTTGTGGGAGCCGGGAGGAGCTGGGCGGATGCTGGGGCAGCTCTGCCTTGGGGCAGGGAGGGCAGGGGGTCACCGGGGCACAGGCAGGAACTGACCAGGCCTCACACGAGCTACGGGGCAGAGCAGACTGGGGGGGGGGGGCAAGCCAGACTCGGAGCCAGGAAGGGGCTGAGTTCAGAGCTGGGGCCCACGCTGGGGCTCAGAGGCTGGTCAGCACGCAGTCTACAGACAAGTCACGCCAATGATTTGTTTTTAAATGTTTGAATGAGTTTCCAACCTCGGAAATAAAGAGGTTCCTTTCACCCGTAAGTTCCAGTTTCCCAGAGCTCCTAAGAAGTCGGAAACTCTGGCCGGAAACTCTGGCCGTGCTGGGCACATGTCCCCCTGCAGCAGTGAGGGGCAGGAGCTGAGCAGTGAGGGGCAGGAGCTGAGCAGTGAGGGGCAGGAGCTGAGCGGTGAGGGGCAGAAGCTGAGCGGTGAGGGGCAGGAGCTGGGCAGTGAGGGGCAGGAGCTGAGCAGGGAGGGGCAGGAGCTGAGCAGTGAGGGGCAGGAGCTGAGTGTGGCCACCCTGGTGTGGGGCCCGCCAGAGTGATGACCTCTGTCGTCCATACTCCCTGCTTCTGCCTCTCATCACTGCTGCCTCTTCATGGCTGTCCTGCCTCTGGCCTCCACCCCCACCCCAGCACCTGCCTGCCCCAGGCCTTCCCCTGCTAGACACCCCTCAGAGACAGCTGCCTGCAGGAGGAAGCCCACGCTGCTCAGCCCCAGGTTCAGAGGCCTGAGCCAGTGGCCCCGCTCATTCCTCCAGTTCCTCTCCCTTGGTTCCTTTATTTATTATTATTATTTTTTAATCCTCACCTGAGGACATTTTTGCCATTAATTTTTTAGAGAGAATGAAAGGGAGGTAGGAGAAGGGAGGAGAGAGAGAGAGAGAGAGAGAGAGAGAGAGAGAGAAGAGAAACATCAATTGGTTGCTTCCTGCCTCCTGATCACACCCCAACTGGGGCCAGACATCGAACCTGCATCTGAGGTAGGTGCCCTTGACTGGGAATCAAACCCCAGACCCTTCGGTCCTCGGGCTGACACTCTAGCTACTGAGCAACACTGGCCAGGGCTGCCTTGCTCCTTTCCTGCTGGCCCAGGGCCTTTGATCACACACTGCTTCCCCACAGCCCTGCTTGGACAAGGCGGCCATACAGCCGGGCTCCACCAATCAGGGCATTCACTCCTTGGCCACAGTGATTGGTTCTGAGCTGGGTTCATGACCCAGCCTAGGCCAGGAAGCGATGGACCCAGGACTTCTGCTGGAACTCCCGGGAAGGAAATGTTCTTGTGCCCCAGGGGAGGCTCAGCTGGTGGGATGTCAGCTCAGAGTTGCTGGGGGCCATTTTGCCACTCGAGGACAGAGAGCCTGCCTGAGGATGAAGCCTGCCTGAGGATGAAGCCTGCCTGAGGATGAAGCCTGCTAGAGAGAGCAGAGCCGGGGGCAGAGGGAACTAGGTCCTGGCTAGCTTCACTGGAGAGCCCAGACGAGACCAGCCTGAACTCCTCGTCTCCTGGATGAGAGAGGTAGAGCTTGCTCCTCCTGTGGCCTCCATGGAGGATCCAGGCAGGCCTGAAGCCTGCATCGGTGTTTCAGTTACATAAATACAGTTTGATCAGTTTCTGTGTCTGGGAACCAAAGGAGTTCCGGCTAATTCATCCTCATCTCCTTGTTCTCCCTCTGCCTACCCTGTCCCCACCTCTGTCCCATGAAGCCCGACACAGCACCAGGCATGGAAAAGATGCTGCAGAAATGTCTTCAGCCCTGGCTGGTTGCTCAGTGGTTAGAGCGTTGGCCCTCGGACCGAAGGGTCCAGGTTTGATTCCTGGTCAAGGGCATGTACCTGGATTGCAGGCCCGATTCCAGCCTGGATCAGGCCATGTGCAGGAGGCAACCAATCGATGTGTCTCTCTCACACCTTTCTTTCTTTCTCCCCCCTCCTTCCCTTCCACTCTCTCTAAAAATCAATAGAAAAAATATCCTTGGGTGAGGATTAACAACAACAAAAAAATGTCTTCAGATACATTTCTCCCAGCATTAATTTGTATCTGCTCTCATCCCTGGTTGGTGTGCTCCAGGATCCATTTGGAGGTCTTAGGAGAGCATGATTCAAGAGCTGTATGTGGGTGCGCAGGGACAGGGTGAGGATTGAGGTGAGAAGAGGCCCAGGGGGGCCTAAGGAAACGTTCAAGGTTGGTTCCACCACTGTGTCACCTCCTCCAGGAAGCCTTCCAGGCTCCCCTCCCCAAGCAGCATTCACAAGTCCCCTTGGACTCTCCTGTGTGCCCCAGAAAGATCTTTCTCCCCCCTTGACCAGAACACCCCAGGCAGGGACATGTCTCAGCACACCCTTTTATGGGCCTGCTAGATCGTGGACGGCAGCCCCACTGCCTGCACACCACCAGTTATGGAGAGCTCATTGCTGCCCAGGAGAAATGCCACTACGAATTAACCACCATAATTTGAGCCAAAAAAAAGTCTTTGCATAGCCTATCAGGGCCTCAGGCCCACCTGCTCCCTCCTCCTGCCCTGGGCTTCCTGGAACAGTGCCCCGGATGAGAACACAGCCTCAGCCCCCCTCCTCGGAACCCGGTCAGCTTCTCAGCACCTCGGCCTCCCTGCCTGTCTCCGTAACTCTCTCCGTTTCTAAGTCTCAGGGCCTCTCTCTTCATCCGAGTGGTTGTCCCCCAATGTCCCTCTGTCCAGTTCTGTCTCTGTGGCTGCCCATCCCCCACCTGGGCTGTGCCCCTGTCGCTGGTGTCCGGGAGCCTGGCATTTCTCCTGCAACACCCTCAGGACCAGACACTGACGGACAGGGGCCTTGGAAAGAGGTGTGTGTGTGTGTGTGTGTGTGTGTGTGTGTGTGTGTGTAACTGAAGAAAGGCCATCCTTTCTCAGGAGAGAGAAATGGTTGAACTTCTGTGCATGCCTTTAGAAGGGGTTTTCCCCACCCCAGCTCCCTGGGACAGTTGGGAAATTGAAGACTGAGAGTAAAACCAAATCCAGGCTGGTTTCCGTCTGCAGCTGTGGGCAGTGGCCAGACGAGGGCGCCAGAGACAGCAGGAGTCCCAGCCCAAGCAGGGGTGGAAGGCTGACTTCTAGACTTGAGGGTGGGGCTGAGCGGTGCTGGAGGGACCCTGCCTTCCGGCTCTGCGCTGTGACCTGGGTGGTCAGTCCCCGTCCCCGAGTGGGTTTCGCTTCCAGGACATCAAGGCCGATTTTGGAGCCACAGAGCCGGATTCATGCCCTGAGTCGGCCACTTTCTAGCTGTGAGGTCCAGGCTAAATCCCTCAGTGTCCCTGAGCCTCACTGAGGCTGAGGAGGCCACATCTATTTGGAAACTGAGTGGACTGTCTTAGGAGGGTGGAGTGGGGGAGGGAGGTAGTGAGGTCCCCGTCACTGGAGGTCTGTGTTCAGGACTGAACGGTGGCTTGAGGCATATGCTGCACCAGGGATGGGGTGTGGGGGGTGTGGGAGGACTGTCCCTTTCCCTGGACAGTCGCGACCAGAGGGCCCTGGCGCTGCTCCCAGTGCTGCCCTAGAGCAGAGAGGGAGCCACAGGGCCACGGAGGACAGCATTCTCCCTGCCTCCGGGTGAGGGGTGGGCAAGCAACCTCTTTCCTCCCTGGAGGGTGGATGCTCAGGCCCGTCTTGTGCCGGCAGCACACCATCAGTGCCCCGTTAGAAAGGGGCCCTTGTGAGCTGGGAACGGAGAGGCAGAGCCGGGCCCCGGGGAACTCCCGGGAAGGAGAGCCTGTGTGAACTAATATAAATTCCTGTCACCAGAAACCCCACTGAGAAATGTCTTCAGCCCTGACTGGTTGCTCAGTGGTTAGAGCGTTGGCCCTCGGACCGAAGGGTCCAGGTTTGATTCCTGGTCAAGGGCATGTACCTGGGTTGCAGGCCCGAATCCAGCCTGGGTCAGGTCGTGTGCAGGAGGCAACCAATCGATGTGTCTCTCTCACACCTTTCTCTCTTTCTCCCCCCTCCTTCCCTTCCACTCTCTCTAAAAATGAGTGTTTGTGTGAACTAATATAAATTCCTGTCACCAGAAACCCCACTGCTCCTCTCTGAGCCTTGATTTCCCTCACAAGCTCAAACGACACTGCAGATGTCAAGCTGGTTTGTGAACAGGAGAGAGGAGCCGGAAGGGGTCCTTCACCAGCCCTGGCTGCCCTTGACTGCTCTCAGGCCTTGGGGTCCAGGTGGGCAGAGGGAAGGCTGTTGGATGCCAGAGGCCCTGGGGGAACAGGACTCTTAAGCTTCCTGGGCTCCAGGCAGCAGTCCTGGTTTGGTCCCACAGCAAAAATGGGGACACGGAGACCAGAGGGGCAGGGCCCTCAGGATCACATAGCAATCAGGCCGAGGCTGCCAGGTGCCCCCAGACTCCCCAGCAGGGGCTGAGCTCCCCTAGGAGCCCTCTGCTGTGAGTGGACATGATGCACCCCCCTCCCCCCAATCAGGGGCACATGCACCAGGCACCCAGCCACCTCAGCCACAGGGCATGCACAGGTGGGCATCCAGCCCCAGGGGCACACCCATCAGCCACACCCATTGGGCACACACTGACACATGAGGGCACACGTACCCACACAGAGCTCTGGGTACGACACATGCATCCACACACCACACACACGTGTGTTCATACAAGCACACGCGTGTGCAAGCCCCTGCCAGGCCGGCCTTGGCTCCCAGGGCAGCCAGACTGATTTCGGGAAGACGGCCATGCACGGTCCCTGGAACATCCAGGCTGCAGGGGAGGCTCCCCTGGCTTCCGTCCCTGAACTCCTGGGACATGGGACAGGCCCAGGAGGCCCAGAGAGGAGCTGTCATCCCTGGGGCCAGGATGACCTCCAACCTTTGCCTGATATGCCCCCATGAAGGCCCAGGTGTTCTCAAATACCCCAGGGTGCCTCTCATTATGCAGGGCGTGGGAGCTGGGCCTGTCGGGTGGGGAGGGGCTCTGCCTCAGGACCTGGACGGCCTGGCTCGGCTGTGGGGTCAGAGGTAGAGGGGCCCTGGCTGCAGCTCACGGGCCCTGACCCCCGAAGCCACTCACCGCTTCAGGGAGCCGGTCCTGGCGAGTCTGTCCCACAGAACCGGCGGGTTTGCCCTGGTTGCCCAGGTGACCCAGGACGGGGCTCCCCTCTGTGCCTCGGAGTCTCCATCTCGCCAGGGGGCTACTGGCTCCCACTCTTTCTCACCAGCCCCAGGGTTTGTCCAGAAGGACGACAACCAGTGGCAAGAAAGAGGGGCTCCTTGGGGTCCCGGCGGGGGGGGGGGGCATCCCGGAGCCGAGAGGGCAGGCCTGGCATCAGAGGGCTGCAGGGAGGGGCCCCGACTCACCCGATCACGTAGACCAGAACCACGAGCTGGATCAGCCGGAAGATGATGCCCACCTTCTTGTTGCGCACGAGCACCATGCGGGGGGTGTCGTACTCGAAGAAGAAGGCGGCCAGCTCATCCTGCAGCCGCCGC